TTTTTTTTGTTTGTTTTCTTCTCTACGATGCCTGCGAAAACCCGTCGTCAAAGTTCACGTTCACGTTCGCGTTCGCGTTCAACTCCACGAACTCCCAATTCTCAAGCCAAAATGGAAAGGGAAAAACTCACCGCTGAAGATTTGTACAACAAACCAGTGGTGAGGAATTTTACACCAGAGAGAGACACTTGGGATGGACACTATGAGTTTGGCGGATTGGCTGGAGTTCTTGGTATTATGATTGCATCTCATGTACTTATATTTTATTTTTGGATTTGTATTGAGAAGTTTGGAGGAACTATGATTTATCCCGGTCATCCAATGTTGAAGGGAGAATCCATGTTAACTGTGTTTGGTGATTATCTCCGTTTACATGCAGCCCCAAATTGGGAGACCTTTGGTGTTTTTACAGGTTTCTTATTAGTGGAGTATGCCCTGGCGGTGGTGCTTCCCGGTGTTCGTGTGAAGGGACTTCCCATTCCCAGTGAAAATGGATATCGCCGGGTTTATAAGTGTAATGCCGTACATGCATGGTATTGTATGCTTCTCATCGCAGCTGGATTACACTACAGTGGGATTTTTCCACTTTGGAAATTACGCAGAGATTATGGTCGTTACTTAACGGTGGCAACATTATGGGCGGATGTTATTTCCATCTCTGTTTATATTATTGGACTTCGCCGGCAAATTCGCATGTCCCACAATTTAATATATGATTTTTTTATGGGTTCTGGTCTTAATTTCCGTCTTCCTGGTGGTGTAGATGTGAAATTGTTTGCAGAATGCCGTAATTCATGGGTATTGTTAGTAATACTTACACTTGGAAATGCCGCGGCTATGCAAAAGGAACTTGGTTACATTACATGGAATATGTGGTTTATTGTTTTTGCCCAAGTTCTCTATGCAAATGCAATTCAAAAAGGTGAAGAGTGTATTATTACTACATGGGATTTATTTTATGAAAAATTTGGATGGATGCTTGCCTATTGGAATACATGTGGAGTACCATTCCTTTATTGTTTGCAGGGACTTTATATTCAAACCATTCTCAAAGATCGTGAACACAAACCTTGGCAATTGGGAATCATGTTGGCTGTTCTTATTCCTGCTTACTATATATGGGATAATGCCAATTCACAGAAAAATCGTTTCCGTATGAAACGCAGTGGTGTACCGGATGAAATTATTCGCCGTAAAGCCTTCCCACAATTACCTTGGGGATATATTGAAAATCCACGTGTGCTTCGAAGTGAACGTGGAGAACTCTTTGTGGATGGTTGGTATCGCTATGGTCGTAAATTACACTATACAGTTGATGTGACGATGGCTTTTCTTTGGGGAGCGGCCTGTGGATTTGATTCTTTTATTCCATTCTTTTATGTTTGTTTCTTTATTTCGCATCTTGTGGATCGTGAAATACGCGATGACCACCGATGTAGAAAGAAGTACGGCAAATTATGGGAAAGATACCTTGAAGTGGTTCCATACAAATTTATTCCAGGTATTTATTAGACTCCCAATAATATGTGTGTACTAGGATGTATTTGTTTGTTTGTTTGTTTGTTTTCCTTTTTTTTTTTTATTTCCTTTTATTACTGGGTTTAATGCCGAATATATGAATTTATTTCTTTTCTTCTCCTCATCATGGTTTAGTTGCTTGTTTCTTTTTTTCTTTTTTTTGGCATCTGTATTTATTTGAACTAGATAATATATATATATATATATATATATATATATATATATATTTCTATACCTTTCCTGTAT